GGAAGGTAATATATTGACAGATAGATGGACAGAACATTTTACGGAAAAGCTTGAAGGAGATCGGAGAGAGACGAACCTTGACATACCATTAGACCAAGCAGACAACAGAGAAAAGACTTCACCAACAATAGCCGAGATTGGAACAGCAGTAGACAAATTAAAGAACACAATAAAGCACCGAGATTGGATCAAATAGCATCTGAGTTACTGAAGGAAGGAAGAAACGCACTACACAAAACAATACATGAATCGATAACAAAGATATGGTCGAATAAATAGCTACCAACGGAGTGGAATAGCGGTATTATGGTACCATTACATAAAAAAGGAAATCAGCGTGGAAACACGCTGCTGAATGCAGCATACAAAATAATGTCCAACGTCATTTATGATCCTTAAAATACAAACATTAGTAAAGCTAATGTTTGTATTTTGAGAACGATTTCCGAAGTGGAAATTGAAACGTCAATAAACGTATTTTAACCTTTAATTGTGGCTTATTCCCATTTAAATAATAATTATTTATTAATTTTAATTTAAAAAACTGGAAAATAAAAATATTCTTGATATACAAAAATGATATAAATATTGTTTATGTAAAATATAAGGGAAAAACAAAAAATCGAATTGTGACCATAAATCATTGTTTAAAAAAAAACGGAAGGTAAAAATACGAGTACTTTTTCATCTATTCGTCATCTAGTAACCCCCACCGATGTCTTAAAAGCTTCAGATATCTGTGAAAAATATTGCCGTGAAATCGATGTTTTTGCATAACCAGACTAGGCTACTATGGACGTATCTATATCTGTATGATAACCTAAAGGGTTCATAATTGATACATTTTAAAAATTTAATACACTAACTATGGTAATTTTATATTTATAGTTGTGAATCCTATGTCAACAAAAATAAAAATGGTTATAAGCAAATCTCAAGTTGGGCAAGTAACCAAACTCTATACCGATGTCATCATCCAAGATTGTAACATAGAATTAACCAAAGATCAATATGACTCGATACTAGCTACCGCAGATTCTATGGAAAGAATGTTAATTAGCTGGCAGTACCTATCTATAAGACCCACTGAAAGTATCTTAGACAATCAGAAAATTTGGTGGAGGTATTCCAGTTATGCCTTATTGGAACAAAGGGTAAAGCCGTACACTTGGAGCAGGATTAGGAGAGTAAGGCAAAATTATAAAGAATATATGGAAACTTACAAACAAATTTTACTCAATCCGAATGATACAGAGTTAAAAATGGATCTGCAGAAATATGAAGATAATTTGTCTATAATTAATGTTGTGCTAGCAAGACAACAAGCCAGATTAACGGTAAGTAAAAGGTTTTTTCTTTACTAAAATGTTCTGTTCTAGAAAATAATAAAAAATATTACTGTACCTTTTATTACACTTCTATGATGCCCTAATTGTATTTATATCTAATTGCACAGAAGAACTATCCAGAAAGTGAATAAAAAAACCATCTGCACGATCTCTTTTCACAGGTTCCTAGGCTAAGGATCATCTCTGTTCAACACTAAGCACTTACAGATCTTTTACACCTCTAGTACTCTTACAATACATTTTAGGTTTTGAAAGGACTTTCAACCAATTTTCACTATTCTTGTCGTAGAGCTCCTAAGCTAAGGGGCATCCTTGTTCAGCACCAAGCGTTGATAGACTTTCTACATCTTCAGTGCTCTTACAATACACTTCAGAGCAACCAAAAGTGTACATAGCGACATGCATATTCTAAAGAACTGTATGGTTTGTTTGTCTACATCATAAATACATGTAGCAGGTATTTTACAACCTAGCAACAAACGTGCGAAAATGGTTTAACTTAACCACTACCGGATTTTTCAGGGCAGCAGTAAACAAAGTCAGAATAGCCATGTTAAAATAGGGTATCAAATGTAGATCTAGAAGGTGTATTAGTTGTAAGGAGAAACCTTTTTAACTAGAAGGTACAAATAAAAAGGAGAATTTAGAGACTGCGTTTAAAACACCATGATATGTGTAAATAGCAATGGGGATGGTCCTTTTACAAATCCCTAAGTTAATTTTTAAATATTTTTTAAAGTATTCTTAACGACCTATAACATTAATTGACTTTATTCAGGTTCAAGAAAGAAGTATAGGAGAAAAAAGCTTTTGGTCAATGTTACCTTCTCCAGAAAGAATATTACTATGTGAGAAGATAGGGTATTTTGATGAGAAAGAGGACAGCTTCAAGGAGAGAATAGGTAAAGTTTTAAAATTATTTAATAACATAAAGACCACTATAGATCACTTTTAAAATAGTACAGCTACCTTTTTTTGTAAGTACAGTAGACCTTCAATTATCTGTACTTCTTGGAATTGGATGGGGCACGGATTATTGAAAAACACAGATAATCCGAATATATATTTTTTATATGTGTACATAATCTAGTATAATATTTGCAGCTTCCTCAGCCGCCTAATTCGTCATTCTTTTGATTGATACTGTCCCATCATTTTTTTGTCTTGACTCTCATTTTTAAATGAAGAAAGTTGTGACGTACCGAGCTAATTCCAAACTAGTTTGACAATATCGTCATTGCTGTGGAGCTAATAACCTTTTTTACATATTAAAAAAAAAAAAAAGGAAAATCTGCAAAGGCCTGTGACTTACCCAGATAGTATTGACCTCCAATCTCCTTCCTTAGCGAGACTGCCACCTCTTTGAGGAGAGCAGCTCTGCTTTTCTCATTTCTTTGAGGAGAGCAGCTATCTAAAACGTTCCTCTTTCATCTGCTCAAGGCTTACACTCTAAGATCGAGTGTGTCTCAGTATCCGTAAGACCACAGTTAAGCCACTGATCGAACTGTGCCCTCCTAAACCTGAAAAGTTAGCTATTGAATCAGCCATGGCGTGTGAGCATTTGCGTCAGGTAATAATCCAGCTGTCTATGCTAACCTTCGAAAGGAGACGGCACAATAATAAAAAGATGCCAACATTCGCATTCGACATTGTCCACTTCACTGCATCACGTATTGCCTCCAACTCTTCCTGCCACTGGTCGATTAAAATTAATCTCTCCGCCAGCTTTATCTTACATACCTCTCGCTCTCCAATATTCTATCACGTACGACTATGAATCATGGCCCTTTCACCTTCCAACCCATGTAAAGAAACACAGCCAGTGGTCACATAGAGCGGCAGATAACACATTTTTGTAAGTTGCTATCTAGCAACTAGAGTCTACAGCCTCACTCCAGACTGGAGCTCGTAGAGGACGGCAGATGCAGTCGTCTGCAAATGCATAATGGATAACACCCTCCCCATATTCGCAGTTTAAGACTCCGTCATATGCCAGGTTCTACAGCGTCGGACTCAGGACGGAACTCTGCAGCACTCCAGCCGTAACATCCACCATCACACCATTTTCCATCACAATCTACCTCAACTGTAATGTATTGAAAGTATTTCGGGTGTCAAAGATAATTAGGACGACCCTTCCATTCTCTCATATAACTTTCCGATATTTTCCTGCCTTGAATTTAGGCAGGAGCACAAGCCTCGAGATTTTCCAGAAATGCGGAAACAACTGTGCTGCAAGAAAAGCATTCATGGGCTCCAGCAGCCACGTGGGCTTCAAACGGCCCAGACGTACAACCGCCCCAGGCAGGACACCATCTAGACCTTGAGTGCTGCCAGAGTTGTGTCGACAGCCATAGCCAGTTCATCCAACGTAAAGGGAATCTCACGCTTAGCCTCGACGTCTCTTCAAATACCATGCCATCGTCCTTGTGGAAACAGTTGAGATAAAGGACAAAGATGAACCAATTACTTAGCTCATCTTTACTAGACTGTGTCCATGCGTCAATAGAGCTATTTCATTGTTTTATTGTCACCTTGATCTATTCCTTCTTTGGTAGAAGCGTTTCATTGTCTCAATAATAACCTGATCCATTGGTGAGCAATTGATGTAAACTTTGCTGAAAAAAAAAACAAATTAATTCCCATCGTTAGATCGTAGGTCTACCTCATTTGGATGAGTATGTTGGAATTTTGGAAGATTTTTAGTCAGGATGCTGGTTATAATAGTAAACTGGGAGATTCTATGGTTTTATGTTTTTAAAATCGCTAGAATTTGTTGACTTTCCAATCACAGTCAGCTTAAGTCCTTGGCTTCCTATGTCACAACACACTGATATCCGGTCCTTACTTTTTTTATAATCTGGTGCACCCATTTCATTACTTGCAGCTAAAGTTTTTATAGGTATTGCTCGCCATTAAAACCTTGTTTTGTCAGCGTTATAAATTTGATAAAGTTGTAGATTGTAGATTATTTTCTGTAATTATGGTCTCCAGTCCATAGCAATGTTCCACCATTACTTCTTAGTTTAACATTAAGCATTTTACCACTTTCATTAAAAAGTTCTCGATTTTTAAGTATTCGGGAAAAATCTCCACTTAGCACACATTGGCCCTGATTGGTGCCTCCTCCAATATTTTCTACAGAAACCACTTGAAAAGTGCTTCATTAAATTGTTAAATGACACGTATGAAGAACAGTGGTGGCTTTTCTCTCATTCAGAGTAATACGCAGCGGCAGATGACAAGCGATTGATTTCAAGGGATTCCCCGAGCACTGGCGCTATCGATATTGCATGATGCGTTTTCCTCGCGACATATCGAGGGTTTTCATCGTGTGATATATGGTGGATTTTGAGGTTTTATCAATAAAACCTCAAAAATTCAATTTAAATTATGTGAAATCATAGCGCGGATAATCAGCACACCCATAATCGGAGTTCTTTTGTACCTAATATAAAATATATCTGTTTCAGAGCATACATACAATTTCCGGTTAGGTATTATAAGTATAACTTTGACAAATAACTACAAAGAAGTAGCTGTATTAACTATGACACAGGCTTTGTTCAACCTTAAACCCAATTATATCGAAGAAACATTTAGAGCTTCAGTAAAAATTGAAGGTATTATATTAGAGGGAGCTAGTAATGAAGACCATTTGATGCCGATCATTTCTTCTGAGCACCTGAGCGATAGTCCGGCATACTTTTTTAAAATGGATTTAGACAAGTTACCAAACAATTCCGTGTGTAAATATAAGCTAAATATTGTTATGGACTCTGTTGAATGTATATACAATAAGGTAAGTACATCTTTATTTAAGATTTATTTGAGCATTCTTCTTCTTTAGCTTGTATTCGTGTAGTGCTGAACGTCATCTTCCATTTGCTTCCATTGATTTCTACTCTTCACGATTGTCATCCACTGCTGGCCCGCGACTTGTTTGATATCATTTGCCCACCTCTTCTCTGGTCTGCCTACTCCTCGCCTGTTCTCTCTTGGCGTTTGTTAATATCTGTGTCCATTTTTCGGGATTATCTCGGGCACCATGTCCGACCCATTGCCCCTTGAACCTTTCTATACATTTTGCGACGTCAGTAATCTTTGTTCTTTCACGAATGTCGATATTTCGAATTCTGTCTCTCAAGCTAATCCCTAGCATCGCCCTCTTCATCGCTCTTTGGGTTGCACTGAGCTGCTCTAAGGTTTTCTTTGAAAAGACCATGGTCTTCAATCCACATGTAATTACAGGCAAGATACATTTGTAATAAACTCTACGTTTTAGACACATTGGTAGATATTTATTCTTCAAGATAAAGTTTAATTTGCCGAAAGCTACCCAAGACATGCGTCTTTTATTTCGGCTATTTGGTTTTCTTTGCCGATTTTAATGATATGTCCAAGATATACATAGTGATCTACATTTTCAAAACTGACGTTGTTAATATGAGCTTTAGCTTAAAATTATCACTCAGCTATAGGGCGAAATATATTTTTATTCATTGCATTTATTAATCCAATTACCATTAATCCATTACACCACTAAATGGCTGTTTTTATGTATAATTTTCCTCGTTACGATGGATTTGCTTAAAAATTTGGATTCAGGTTTGTCTTACCCTCTACTGTACTTTTGGACTTGAGCCCAGAATTGCTTTCACTTGGAAGATAAAAGCCACCCCTTCTCCGTGGTGAAAAACGTAAGTTCAAAATACGCTCGGAAGTAGATAAACTGCTAAGCAACTTTTATTCTTTAGAGTTATTTCACAAAGTCAATACTTTTTGAGCTGTTTTCGAGTGAAATCTCCAATTTCACTCAAACACGTTTTCAGACGGTTTTTCAAAGATAATTCAAAAGTAAGTATTTTATCAGAATGAAAAATTACCAGTAAAAATTTAGCTTATAAAAGGAATAAAAAAAATTGTGATTTTATGAAGAAGGCCCAGTAGACGCAGAGTTGCAGCTCTTGAAAAATAGGTTCATATTTATCAAATTTTAAATCGAAAATAATTTCAACGTGAAAAAAACCGAAAAATGTTCTATAAGAAGATCTGACAGAGCATTCCACAACAAAGGTAACATCAACAGAAAACAATTCAAGACAACCACAAGACAATCCATGTCAGAATCTTCTTCTTCTTCTTCAGATGCAAATCCACTAATGGATGTTAGCGATCACATTTTCCATTAATTCTCTATTTCTTGCAATATGTATCACAGACTGTATGTCGTTAATCCCTGTCCATTGCCTTATATTTCGGAGCCAGGACATTTTCTTGCGTCCCATTCCTCTCTTGCCTTCAATTTTACCCTCGATTATAAGTTGGAGGAACTGGTATTTTTCATTTCGCATGATGTGACCTAGATACGCCGTTTTCCTTTTCTTGATGGTTTCGAAAAGTTGGCGTTCTTTGTTTATTCTTTTAAGGACATCTATATTTGTGATTTTCGCTGTCCATGGTATTTTTAGAATACGGCGATAAAGCCACATTTCGAAAGCTTCTAATCTGTTATATCCTTCGTTGTAAGTGTCCAGCCCTCTACGCCATATAGCAGCACTGACCATACGTAGCACTTAGTAAACCTTAGTCTCAGTTAAAGATCGAACTCTGAACAAGTCAGTACCTTCTTGAATTTTACGAAAGCTTGTCGAGCTTGCTCAATGCGACATTTTACTTCCCTGTCCGATGCCCAGTCTTCAAAAAGCCACGATCCCAGGTATTTACATTTACTCACTCTTTCTATGGATTTACTATTCAGTGTTATGGTGGAGTTTTCAAGTGCATCCAAGTTTCTGGAGATGATCATGAATTTGGTCTTTTTGGTATTAATCTCTAATGCCATTCGCTCACTGTATTCTCCGATTATAGTGACAAGTTGTTGAAGATCGACTATGTTGTCACAAATTAAGACACCATCATCAGCATATCGTATGTTGTTAATCAATACTCCATTCACCTTGATTCCCATCTCTGCATCCTCCAAAGACTCTTGAAATATGGCTTTCGAATAAATGTTCAATAAAAGAGGGGAAAGCACACATCCCTGTCGAACGCCTCTTCTTATATGTATGGGCTTGAATATAGAATTGTCTATTTTTAGCTGTGCCGTTTGATGTCACTACAAGTTTTCAATGCATCTTATGTCTTTTTGGTCTATATCAACTTTCTTGAGAATCTGCATTAACTTATGATGTTGGACACGATCAAACGCTTTTTGGTAATCTAAAAAGCATAGGAACACATCCTTCCTCTAATCGTAACAATTTTGGACCAGCACCTGTGTTGCTACTATTGCTTCTCGTGTTCCTAAACCTTGCCTAAACCCGAACTGGGAAGCACTGATGTCGAATTCACATTTTTTGTATAATCTTTGATGTAGTATTTTTAAGAATATCTTTAAAGTATGACTCATCAGGCTAATGAGTCTGTGATCCTCACATCTTTTTGCATTGACTTCCTTGGGCAGGGGAATAAAGGTAGAGCGTAACCACTGTTGAGGATAGCAGCCAGTTTCATAAATTAAATTAAATATTTTATGTAGTGCTGAAATTCCCCTTTCATCTAGTAATTTGAGTATTTCTGACGGGATCTCATCTGGTCCAGGTGCCTTATTGTTTTTTGAATTTAATATTGCTTTTTCTATCTCCTATTGGTGATTGAAGGGTCAGTCAGCTGGTCGTCTGTATAAACTTCACTCATGGGTCTTTCGTCATGGAAGAGCTCCTGGATATAATTTTCCCATATATCAATTTTCTCCTTTTCACCCAGCACTATGTCAGAATGTCAGAATGGCGACCTATTAACAACAAGGAAAGATGTATTAAATAGATGGGGGGGAATACTTTAACCAGGCACTTCATATAGAAGAAGAAGAAGAAATCCTGGAAGACAAAAGAAATTAGGTAAGGAGAACAGACGAATGGGAAGAGAAACCACCAACGATTCTTGAAGTTAAAGATACTAGACTCAGAGACCTGGACAAAAAATAATGAAAATATGTTAGGATGTTTCGAAAGAAAAATACTAAGGCAAATCTATTGAGCAGTTAATGACAATGGAGTGTGGAAGTTTTCACTCAAAAAAAATAAATAAATAAAAATCAACCCACGGCATAAGTCCAAAAGTGAAGTAGTGGAGGGTAAGTAGAGACTAAATCCAAATTTTCATGCAATTCGGTGATGAACTCGGAAATTACACAGTATCACGTATTTCAGGTTCACTTACTGAAATTTATATAGGATCCTTATAGAATACGAGATATATGATAATGTAAAGACTGTATGGTAGCTGGTATACGATAAAGCTAATATTCAAGATTATTTTTGTCTTTATTTCACGCTAATACTGTTAAAATTCCTTTTTAGCCATCAATTGAAGAAATTGAATCTTTTCTAACTGTTGAAAAAGGTGATACGAAGAGTTTATTTAACTATTTAGCAAATAAACCAACGTTAATAACAAGAACGGTCAAGAATAAGTTATTGCAGGCTTGGGAATTTAATCTCAATATAAAAATTCCATATGTTGTGATACCCGAAGTTAGTTCGTATATGAAGTAAGTTTCATATCTATATTATTCTATGTTTTACACAACACTCTCTACATTTAACTCACTATACACTGCAAATACATACGTAACACTTGTACTTCTTTATTACAGTCGTCATTCTCTTTATCATCCATCAGCTGAATAGGATTCGCTTATTACGTTTCTTCGTAATTTTCTAATTTAGGTCATAACAATCTATATCCTTATAATATCCTGGCCTATACAGGCCAGGAGCTTTGCAATTTCCTCATTAACAGTGTAGAAGTATATAAGAGCGATATAATTGCACTTCAGGAAATGAGATGGTTGGGAAATAAAATATTAGAGAAAAAGAATTCTGCGATATATTATAGCTGCCATTCAACGGAACACAAATTACGAGATGCATAGTCAATAAAAGAGTAAAGCACCTTATAATTGTCCATGCATCAACTGAGGAGAACCCGGATGAAGAAAAAAAACAATTTTATGAACAACTGGAAAATATCATACAACATTGTCCTAGAAATGACGTAAAGGTCTTAATAGGAGATTTTAATGCAAAGATAGATCAGGAGAGTGAATACATGCCAACCATTGAAATTCACTGTTTACATGAAGAGTGAAACAACAACGGAACTGGACTAATACACTTAGCCTCCTCAATGAACATGGTGATTGCCAGCACATACTTCAGGCACAAAGAAATAAATAAGGGAACATGGAGAAGTCCAGATGGGAATACATTAAACCAAATTGACCATGTTGTGGTTGACGCAAGATACTTCAGCGACGTGATAGAGGTACGTGTAAAACGCAGGGCGAACATAGACTCGGACCTTTACCTACTACAAGCTAAACTAAGAGCTAGAATCTCCAAGTCAAAGAAAGAAAACGGAGGTAAAGAGGAAAGGTTTAAAGTACAAGCGTTAAAGAACCCTGAGATAGCTAAGAGATTCAAGGAAAGTATTGAAAGCAAGCTGGTAGGCTGCACGGATGTTATAGTTGAAGATAATAACAACTATTGGAGGCAGGCTCAAACGTTTTGAGCGAAAAATACTAAGACAAATATATGGAGGCATCAAAGAACAAGGTTTGTGACGCAGGTATTACAATAAGTTGTATAGAAGTTTTGGAGAACCTGACGTTGTAAAATTCATTAAGGTAGCACGCCTCAGATGGATAGGTCATGTAATCAGACGAGAGGAAGATGCCATGGTCAGAAAAGTTTTTGACCGAAGAGGGCCGATCGGACAACGAAGAAGAGGAAGACCGAGACTTCCTAGAAAATGATTTGAAGTCTATCGAAATTAAAGCATGGAGAAGAGTTGCCAGAGACAAGGGCGAATGGAGGATTGTTCTGAAGAAGGCTTTGGCTCATAAAGAGATGTAACGCCGCTGATGATGATAATGATTGGAGGCAGTGTAGAGCCATATTGGAAGAAGTGGCAACTGAAGTTATCGGAAAGCAAAAACGTAAAAAATTAAGGTCAGACTGGTACGATGAGGAATGCTCACAAGCAACGCAAAGAAAAAATCAGGCATTTAGAAGACTTCAAGGGCAAATAACGAGACAAACACAGGAAGAGTATAGGCAGCTGAGAAAAAAAGAAAGACGAATACTTAAAAAAAAAGAAGAAAGAGCATATAGAGAGCCAACTAAAACAACTAGAGAACTATAAGGCATAAGCAGAAACGCGAAAGTTCTACAAGAGGATTAACCAGAACAGTAAAGAATTCAAATCTGGATTATCAATCGTTAGAAATAGAATAGGGGAGATCATTGGTGATCAGGACCAGATACTATAAATGGGCAGAAAACTTCGAGGAAAGGCTAAATATTAGAGGTGAGACAGAGCTACATGAATCAGAAATCCAACTCGAGGACATTGACGATGAAAGAGAGAAAGATAACATCCCAATAGAGGTAGAAGTAGAAGCCAAGCTATACAGAAACTGAAAGAAAACAAAGCTCCTGGGACAGATGGCTTTAAAACTTTTAAAGCATGGCAAAAAAACCTGACATATTGTATATGTAGACTGGTAGAACTGATCTGGAAAATTTTTGACCGAAGAGGACCAGTGGGAAGACGAGTCAGAGAAAGACCAAAACTTAGGTATCAAGATAACATGGAGGATGATTTAAAATCCATCGGAGTTAAAGCATGGAGAAGAGTTGCCAGAGACAGGGTCGAATGGAAAATTGTTCTGAAGAAGGCTTTGGCTCATAACGAGCAGTAATGCCACTGATGATGATGATAGTTGGATGTCTTATGAGGATCAGTTATTAAAAACCCTCTCCCGTTTATGACGCTCGATGTGGCTGTTCTAATAACATGTACTACTCTATAAACCAATCCTATACCTGTAACCTTACCTAACCTTACTATTTGTAGGTATATTAAATTTTTCTTTTGTGCTCATTTATTATATTGAGATTATGTTAGAAAGAAATACTTTTACATTTAGCTGTTAATTACTGTTTACTTTGAAACTGTCTACTTGTCGAAAAATTGTATTTGTATTTTTTTAGAGCTGAATATTTACTAGTCGTTGATTTGGGCCGTTACTCTGTCAGAACAGAACTATGCCAACAAGCATACATTGCTGAAAACTCAACGCAAATGGAATTAGAAGAACAATTGTATACCAAAATATTTGTTAATTGTACTGATCTCCAAATATTGTTCTGTGATACTAGTGATAACTGGAAAGATGCTAGAAAGGAAAAGTGTAGTGAAATGCACGTGGTTCCTAAAACTTCGTTTTCTTCTATATGTGCCATTTCCGTGGCTAACCTGAAGACAATACCAAGGTAAAAAAACTTTTAGATTTAATTCTGAATGTAAATTACATGGATGCAGCACATCCCCTCTAAATTAGTTTTTAGTTATTTTTTATTATTCATTATTATTTATTATTGTTTATTATTATTGATTATTATTTATTGTATTTTATTTATTTCAGCTGAGTAACAATTGATATCTTGCAGAGAAATAGAAAAAGGATTTATGAAAAGGTCAACATTCACTTTATCTTTATGAAAATCTTCAAACCGGGTATTGAATGAACCTAGCAAAATAGATATAAGGTTTTTAAATCTCTCATAATTTGAAGTTCTACTGACCTTGTTCGCTAATTCCTGCATTAATGTGAAATGTGTCAATCTCTGTCCTCCAAAATCGTTACAAAAAAGCATAAGTTTATTCACAAAAGAAGATATATGACCAACTAGAGTAGGAAAAATATAATTTTTCCCTGTAATCTTAAATTTAATAGATTTAAATGTCTCATAATATCAGTGAGAAAAGCTAAATCCCAAAGCCAATCTTTATCATTAAGTAACGAGCACTCACTGGGTAGTTCATTGTTTTCTTGCAAATATTTTAAGACGCACTCCTTCAAGTTCCAAAACCTTTCGAATGCATTTCCTTTGGAGAGTCGGCGCACACTGCAATGGAGAAGTAACTCTCCATCTTGCTCCGTTTCTTCCGAGAACAGTTCTCGAAATTGTCGTTGATTCAATGCCCGAGCTCGTATTTTGTTAATGCAGCGTGTTACAGGGTCAACAACAGATGACATGTTTAGGTCCTTGGCACAAAGAGCTTCCTGGTGAATAATACAATGGTACTTAAAAACTTTTCTTCCCAAATAGTTTTCTAGTAATGTAACAAACCCCTTTAGTCTACCAACCATGCAAGGAGCTCCATCTGTACAAACACTATCTAATTTTGACCGTTCAACTTTGTTGACTTCGATTACGTTTTTAAGCTGTTGAAAAATGTGCTCTCCTGTAGTTGGCGCAAATCCAGAAACTCTTCGGCATTTTCAAAATTATCGTTGGTATAATGGACAAAAATGCTTAACTGCGCATTTTCTGTGTTGTCACAACTTTCATCCAACGCTAAAGAAAAGAATTTGCAGGATTGTAATCCACTTATAATTTAGGAAACAACATCCTGGCCCATATCATCTATACAGCGCATGACTGTATTTCGGGATAATGCAATATTATCGACCATATTTTTGATCTTTACATCTCCCCCATTTTTAGCAAATATTGCCAGACTATTTTTAATTATCTCCTCTCCATCAGAGTAGGCTTTTTTCTTCCGGGCTAACAACAGAAAAAGTTTATATGATGTTTTAACCAAAGTTTCCATTTCATCACTTCTCTTCTGAAACAGTGACTGTTAGCTGGCTAGGGTTTTCTTTTTTTTTTCAATAAAGTCGGCTTGCAAATGTGAACCAATAGGATATTTGTTGCTGAAGTCCTTATGCAGTTGTTTATAATGTCGTTCCAGGTTAAATTTTTTCGGAACTGCTACAGACAATCCACATATCAAACAAACAGGCTTTGAAGTATTACGATTAGTAAATAAAAATTGTTCTTCCCAAGCAGGTTGAAAATCGCGAATTGCAATATCATCTTCGTATTTTCGTTTTGAAGTCGAAGGCTTACTGTGGACATATCGAACAAATACTTTTAAAATTTTAAAGAAACAATGCGCGATGACAAAATGTGCACATACAACGGGGCAGTTTAAAATAAACTAAGCAAGGGTAACGCAGTCCTTGCACATTACGACAGCTAGGATCACGTGCACCAATCGCAGCAATATCGCTCGCCAGAGGATGCAATGATGCCGCATCTATCATAACTTCCATAAACCTACCAAGTTTCTTCTTATTATTTTTTGTTTTTCAAGTTTTAATTTTTTTGAAAGTTTGATCAGTTTGAAAGTCCTATCAGTGGCACGCTACGCGTGCCACTGATACAACTCAATCGTGCCACAGAGTGGCACGCGTGCCGCGGGTTGGCCATCCCTGCCCTACAGTCTCTACTAAGCCGACAATGCGGCAACGTTATGCAAAAATGATAGCGTCCAATTGAATGACGTACAAAGAATTTGGGAGAAAATCACCAATAGACGTATTCTTATATTTTGATTGACTATATAAAATTTTAAACGAATTTGTAACAAAAATTATACTTGTAACAATAAAACACTGAAAACTTTGTTTTCAAACTTCCACAAAATTTATTTTAATCTCTTATCACTACAGCTGTTTCGGCTGATTGCCTTTCTCAAGTGATCTATTTTTGGCATGCGTTTACATTTTATAGTCTCTAATGAAGTAGGTTGAGGAGGTGAGAACTGTTTGTCTCAAGTTGTTCATTCAGAATTATATCTGTGTTTTTTAATTTGTTGATTTCCATGGATTCTAACAAGGATAGCTTAAGGCCTTTATTTTGAATGTGAAGAATTTTAAATTCGTCATTAAAAGAATGATTGTGATCTAGAAGGTGAAGTGCGTAAGTAAAATCTGTTTTTCTATTATTGAAAGCCCTTTTATGTTCTGGTATTCGTTTATTAAAATTTCTACCAGTTTGACCGATGTAAGTTTTTGAGCAGTCGCCACATTTAGGTTTGTACACACTACTACTCTAAAAAACACTTACTGTGTAAGTGTTTTTTATTTTGGCTCTTGTTGTTTTTGATATATTTGCCTAGGTTGTTATTTGTTCGGAAAGATGGTGTTATTCCTTTCTTTTTTATGTGTTTGGTGGTGGAAGTAATCTCTTCAGCAATCAACGTGTGTGTACCTCCATATTTGACTGCATAATGTAGGTTTTAATAATGTAGTATATTGTTCTATTAATCGGATTACATCGCATCAAGTAATGTGTTTTATCATTATTTACCTCAATATGTGCATTGCAACCTATTTACAGTGAAGTAATTATGAAATGAAACCATATTCTCGAGAATCCTATTTCCCACCTTACATCCCCTTATAAATTTAGTTTAAATAGTTATTATTGTAAATATTGTTTTAAATATCCTTTTATATTTGTTTTAGCTACAAATTTAATATTAGTTTTCCAAATTTAAAGATGAATATATCAGAAAGAAAAATATTGTTGTTACTGAAATTTTTTAATATAGATCAAATAAAAATTAATATCATCCAAGAAGATCCTGAGCCGAAAGTTTTTACCAAAGACAGAATAAAGAAAAGAATTACGAACCATTATTTAAAGAGGATTGAAAAGAAGATACGAATCCCGAATACGTATATAAAATACAAGCGGTACAAAGTTGACAATTGTCGCACACATAATATCACCAGAGAGTAAGTAATAGAATTTTAAGAGATCTTCTTTTCTTGTCTTCTCAGTATTTGTTTATATGTTACTATTATTATCTATTTATGCTGGTGGATACATTTCCTTAATAGCATATGGGATATTTGATCCTGAAATTCCCACTCGATTTTCATATATGACGTCAGTCGTTTGAGCTAATTCACGTCCAACGTCCAACTAATGTCTCCAAAATCTGCCCACTTTTAGTGGTTCGCGAACAAAGGTGCCATTTACTTTGACGGTGAAGTACGAGAACGATTTAGTAAAATAGTTCTCTATTCCTGTAGGTTATCGAAATGTGCAAACTATTGGAACTTTCAGCTGTTATCGAATTTAAAGATTGAGTCTTTGTTTAATCTCTTCATATTTATCTAAAGCCTTGTTATAACTTTACTCTTCTTACTGAAAACCATGGTTATTATTTTCTTTATATTTATTGTTAAACCAAACTGTTCCCCGGTATAGCAAAGTGTGTTTAGTAGCATCTACAAGACTTTCTTATTTTTAGCGATAATGACTGTATCGTCGGCAAATCGAATTTTATTTGTAGTTTCACCATTTTTCTTGATCCCTTCTGCACACTTTTTAAGTTCTTGTATTTTTTTTATAAATAACTATTCGGAGTGTATATTCAATAGTAATGGTGAAAGTACACAGTCTTGTCTCGCGTCTCTACTTATCGAATGTTAATATTGAGTATTTTTTTAAACCACTGCTTGTTGGTTTCAATAGATACTTCTCACTATATTAATACCATTTTTATCGTTAGTTACTTTTGCTTTAGAAATTTTCGTGAGGAGGCTATGCTTAACTTTTTCGAAAGCTTTCTTATTTAGAAAAGAAATGCGAATATCTTTTTGTTGGTCTCGATACTTTATTATAACCAATAATTGTGAAACTGTATAGAGCTTCTTTTGTTTTCTTCTTTTTTCATGTTAAAATGATCTGTGTAATTAAATTATTGAATGCTATGTGTGTCGTCTGAAATCAAGACAGATTTTCGATTCAAGGTGAAGTATACTTTTCGTCAATTTCAGTTCTTTTTAATATTTTACTCAGTTTTTTGCAATGGAGTCTGTGAGTTGGAGGCGGTGTTAATTGGCTCTAATTATTATATAGATGTCATTAGAAGAGGTTTTCTTATAATTATTTTTTAAATTTCAGTAAAAGTATCTCTAGGAACTATCATGAAGATATGAATGAAGCTTGGGCAAGATGTGTGGATTTGCCAGGCCTTGAGGACAACATATCGCCTAGCAACAATATTCAAGTTTTATACGGATTTGTGATAAATGAAGTAAGTTAAAGTATTACAATCTTGATTTTTAATATTACTAATCCTTTATTAACAAAAATATTCAATTTAGATTGTTGAGTGCATAATTAAGTACATATTTATGACCAAGAGCATTTTTTTTAATCTTTTACCTATTTATTTTTTGTTTCTCATTTTTAAACTTACTCTCAGACTACTTTAATACTCGTCGTCATCATCATTCTGACTTTACAACACTGCGTGAGTGCTAGACTCCTCAAGTATTTCTCTTCAGTTGTACCTATCCATCGCCATCTCCGCCAAGTACATATTCCCATATTTTTTATGTCTTCATCGATGTTATCAAGGAACCTTGTTATGGGTCTTCATCTTATTCTCTGACCAATGGGTCTATCAAGGAAGATTTTTGTTGATAGGACAGACGTCCTATATTATTATGTTTTATGATATCTTCTCCACACTCCATCCTTATTCACTGCTCTATAGATTCACCTTGTAGCATTTGTAAATTCCTTGGTATATATTGAATTCCCCTCGTATATGTATTAAAACACCGAAGAATATTTTATCCAAAGAAAAAATAATTTTAATCCTCTTTGCGTCGCCGATTTGATATAAACACATTTTTAATGTTTGTTTATGTAACACAGATGTGTATTTCCTTTTTATTCCTTTGATCGAAGCCACTTTAAGATATTTTTTGACGTCATATGAACAAAATATTTCCGTTTATAATATATAAATATTACAATATACAATATTATATTATAAAAAACATATTTTGTTTATACTACGTTGAGAAGCGAATGATTTTTAAGAATTACATCACTCTCGCTGAGGCCGTTGTCAAGAGCGGTTGGCTTCGGTATTGGAGTCCGAATTTTTATCAAATTCGTAAGGTTTTTTGTGTTTTGCCTTTTTTCATGGGAAAATGTATAGTATGGTAACAGTTTAATGTGTAGTTGCAGTTTAAGTGAAGTTTGGAAGAATCGTTGTTTCCATCCTCGTTTTATCTGTCCCTGGTGGTCATCCTAGGCTTTTTGGCGATTTGTAGATGAATTTTTTCGTGTGACAGTGTAAGCCCAGTTCTATCCTCAGAAATTTCAGTGAAGTCTAGTTTCCACCCCCAGAAGTTTTAGTGCAGTATAGGTAACTTTAGTGTCTAAATTTGAATTTTGAAAGTTGGCAAAGAAATTCCTAACGTCTCAGCTGCACGCTGAAATAAACAATAGGTAAAATAATTTTATTTTCAGGATAATTTTAAACTTACCTCGCGAATAGAAGAAATTGGTAATAAAGTTTGTCCAGCTTCCTTTTGTAATTGAAAATAGTTTAGTAATTTTAGTATCAGTACTTGTTCTTTTTCTGTATATCTTAGCACTTTTAAAAATTTTTAAAAAGTGTTCGTACTTCGCGTAACTGATTGGCTTTAGAAAGGGCACATTTTAAATATCAGCGAATCAAACGTAGGGTAAGAATAGACCGCTTATGTATGTAACGCTGCAATATTTGTTTATTTAATCACGAACCTGACGGTTTTTCCGTCACATCCAGCTTAATTCATTAGAAATAAATCGAAAAACTGTGACGCACTGAAAGAAGGCTCTGAGAAGAATTTTAATATTATTTTCAGTGTTAAAGAATTCTCCCAGATATACAAATTCGTTCACTGCTTCAATGACGTCGTTTTCTATAACAAGTGGTGGTAGGATTTGTAGTTGCGTGCTTATTTTCATATAATACTCGTTTACGCCTCATAACTCAGCAACCCAATTAGCTATACTCGTATATTACAAATTCCATAATCTTATCTTAATATTAATAGCTATTGTAGTTTTCAGTAACATTTTCGAGATCAAGTGACAGCACCGATAGACAATACTTAATGCTACGCTTAGGGCAATTTTCAATGGATGTAGCTTTCATGACGTATGGTCCTGCGTATCAAATAACACTAAACTCTCTTCTTCTAACAGACAAGCTGCATACAACACATAGCGGACAATATCTTGATCTCCTTTTTAGCCCTGTTACTAGTAATCAAGATATTACTACTATTCTATTCAGAAAGGTAAGTTGTTGAAAATAGTACTTGAATAATTTATTTCAGGAAATAAAAGAACAATAGTGTAGAAGAAAAATAGAAAATTCCAAATTACTACTATAAACTACTATTACTTGAACTAAAAAAGTTCAAATTACTTTAGTTGAAGGAACAATGTAGGTGTTATCTCTAAAGTATTATGTGAATATTACGATGTTCATCTGTACATTTTATTCATGATCTCGGAACTTTTTATAAAAGTTTGTAAAAGTTTTTTTGTATTTTAGTCGAACTTTTTTTAAAGTAGCAAGCTTTTGGTTTATGCCATCATTAAAGCTAGGCTGTATTTTGCAACTATATTAGAATCCAAAGTTATAGAATGCAGTGTTGGTCTGACGGGCACAGCGATGCCGCTCATGCCGGCACAGTGGTAGGTGTGTGGTAGTTTGGCGATAGACTGAGAAATCGGGACCGTACACTCTTCGTTTCAAAAATGTTTACTCAATAATTTAACTGGGTTAAATAAGGGAATAAACAAAAAAACAAATTAATTCTATAAAAAATGCCTGTATACATCAAATATCCTAATACCTCATAAACCCTTATATACATATATACACAAAAATGCAAGTAGTTTACCCTATTATACGACACAATAAATATATACATAAAATAAATAAGAAGATCATAACTGAAATGTTGTGTACGTAACGTACTAAAAAACAAATGAGATTTGATTGACGGGATTTGATTTTTCACGTAAGCTACCATCGAAGGAGACAAGTGGCAGTCTGATAGTAGTTGGTGACAAAATGAGGCTTTTCAGTTATTGTAAAGTTGAATGAAAAATTCTATGGAGTGCAGCAAGGTACACTTGGTAGTAGCGGAATATGTTAAGTGGTAAGATTGGAAAACCATAAAAACAAACCTTTCCCTTTCGTAAAAAAAGGATTAAAAATGCGGCAGCAAAGGAGAACTCATCCAGGAGCTCATCACTACAACTTTGTAGTAGAATGGACGGGAGGTGAAGGTTTTTTTTCCTTGGTTGTTTTTATGTTCTGCGATTGGAGCATTGAATAATTTTAAACATAAATCTCCTATTCCTATTCTCTGGATTGTAGTTGGAATGTTCGATACATTGCGAATTTTGCCTGACGAAAAGTTACATCTTTTGTTGTTTCCTATACTCCGGATGTAGCGCATGGAACAAAGGATGTGATGTTTGAGCTAGCTTTAGAAGTCCGTATACCATAGATTTTTATTCTTTAACTTGTCTTGTAAGCAAGTACGAGAGTTTTGTATACGTACTACCGAATCTGTCTGCTAACGATAAAAGAAGTCTGGCTCAGTTTCGTACCCTATCTAAAGTAGTCTTTAAATCGGTGCTTTTTCTTGGGTCATATATCCGTATCTAAGTAGTTGACTCATTAGATGGACTTAAGTCTTATCAGATGACGTAGGTGTAGCTTTTTCACAGAATACATAATATATGAATTTATTCCATTTTGAAAGACTCTGTATATAATTCATTTGGTTTTATTTGTAGTCATTAGTAGTTGGAAGATTATTAGCTTTTGATCCAAAAATATCTAAGTTTATAAAATGTATTCTACACTTTTTATAAAAATAAATTGGAAAATAATGTAATTAAACGAAAATGAAAAATATTGGGGAAAGGCACGTAGAAAGAATTAAAACAAGAGCAGAAAAATGTAATTTTAAATAAACACTCTCAAATATTAAGATATAAAAATATTGAGTATTATATCATTTTAGGTTAGTGCTAGCTGTCCTGATTTCTGGTCACATTTTCATGGAGTAGAAACATCGTTAGTAGCAAACTTTGGTACATTACATGTTCTTCTGCATCAAGAAGCTGTGAGAACAATATTTCAATATTCCAAATATATAAGCAATAAGTAAGTATTATATTAATTTTCTTGATGATAATATCAATACAATAACAACCATTTACGTTTATCTTTTTTTCTCCATGTGTTCAGATAATAAAAGTATCGACCACGTACCTAAGCCAAAGTTTGGGTTTGTATTAGGCTGTTCCTATTGGTCGCTGTTCTATTTCTTGCATAAACAGGTTTGCTATTATGATTACAGCGGTGGATCTGTCGGTCCTTCTTTAATTTGTTTATATCTTTGTTTTTTATGGATGAAATATGTGTTATTTTAGCAGTGTTTTGTTTCTGCAGTATTTTGTAAGCAGTATTTTGTGGTATTGGAAACTTTTTGCTTATACTTTTTAGTGATTTATTTGTAAAAACATTCGTAAAAAGTCAGATCACATTGAAGCTGACTATCAAATGTGGCTTGCATTCTTGATACGTCGCGTTGCTTCTTCTGCGTATGGTTGTAGCTATTCAGCCATAAATTTTGCCAATACTTGTAGAGTAGATCCGATAGAAATAACCTTCGGTCGCAATGATAACCCTGCCTTACGTACCTAGGGTAAGCCATGAAGTTTTGGGTACATTGACGACTTCTCTCTAGGTATGAGATAAAACTATTGTTCTTTCTCGATGTTTGAGCTTTTGATCATGGCTTTTGTTAATTTCTCTAGATACGCTGTAGGGTCCAACATCCATAGGATTCTTCATTAAAAATGAAACTTTTAAGTTTAATGAATTATGTAGATACTTCTATTTCAATGTGTATTGTGATTTCTTTGGTTTTGTTCATATATGATCTTATGCTATCGATTTCTATAAATAGAAATCGATAGAAGAATAAAGTAGCTTATCAGACAGAATCTCACAACTTCAGAACTGACAGAAGTAGAACATCTCAATGAAAATGCATTAGATATAGAGGTGACGAACATGCGAATAAATAGTGCGATTAGAAACGTTCATAGAAAATATAAGAAAAAAGGAAAAAACAAGATAAATAAACTCACTCAATCTACTAAAAATCTTATAAACAAAAGAAGAGAATTGAAAGACAAATACACAGATAATTTTGTAACACTTAGACAGTTAAACAAAGATATCACAAAATTTATTCGAAAAGATGTCAGAAATTACAACACTGAATACATAACTCAAGCCATTGATAAAAATAAAAGTCTAAAGGTTCTGCGCCGACAAATGACTGAAGAATCGGAAAATATTTGTAAACATGTAAATAAAAAAGGAGAATCTACAACAAATAAGGAAGATATTTTAAAAATTGCACAAGATTTTTACTCAGAATTGTATAAGCAAGAAAAACTTCCAGATCCTAATCAAAATCAAATACAAAAAGTTCAAAATGTAGGCTCAGAAGACATCCCAGATATCACAACAGAGGAAATAAAATCAGCTCTCTCGGAGATGAAAAACAATAAATCACCTGGAGAAAATGGGATAGTCATTGAACAAATCAAAGAAGGAGGAGGAACGTTAGTAAATGTGTTGAAAAATATGTTCAATGCTTGTTTGACAAGAGGCGTAACCCCCTTCCAGTGGCATAATGCAATAATAACCATAATGCACAAAAAAAGTGACATTTCAGACCTAAAGAACTACAGACCTATTAGTTTGCTCTCCCATATATACAAACTATTCATGAAGATAATAACAAAACGGCTTGTGAACAAACTCGATAGTTACCAACCTTGTGAACAGGCTACAGATACGGATACGGAACAAATGATGATCATCTACAAGTTATAAAGTGTACAGAGTATAACAGGCCTATCTTTTTTATATTCGTAGATTATGAAAAGGCGTTCGATACTATACATTATAGATCTTCATAAAATGCTTCAAACATTGGCTGACTGCCGCATTGACTACCGATATATCGCCTTGAATAAAAGTATTTACGAAACTGGTAGAGCTTGTATCCGCCTTCATGAAGATACCAAGAAGTTTCGAATAGAACGTGGAATTAGAGAAGGTAATACTATCTCCCCTAAATTGTTTACAGCTGTTCTTGAATATATGTTCAAACAAATGGAACGAGAGGATAATATGGGAATTAAAATAAATGGGGAAGATCTGAACCACCTAAGATTTGCCGATGGTTTTAATATCTGATAGAGTTGATAAAGCAACAAAAATGCTGCACATACTCTATAAAGTGTCAAAAACAATTGGTCTTAAAATTAACACCTCAAAGACAAAATTTATGACCAATCTTGTAGTCAGCAATAAAATTTTGATTGAGAGCCAGCGCATTGACCAAGTAATAGCTTACAAATATCTAGGGCATGAGATTCGCTTAGGCCGAGATAATCAGACAACTTAAATACAAAGAAGGACAGGTCTTACATGGGCTGCCTTTGGTGGATTGATTATTATCATTTTCAAGTATATTATCCCAGTTTGTTTGAAAAAAAAAGGTTTTTGACCAGTTCGTTTTACCGGTTCTTACGTATGATGCAGAAACACTGACTCTGACAAAAAGAACAATAGATAAAATAAGAGTTACATGTTGCCAGATTAACGGATGATAGATGGACCAAAAAGATTCTGGAATGGCGATCGAGGCAAGAGGCATATCGAAGCAGAGGATGACCACCGATTAGATGGACGGATGATATCAAGCGCATCACCACAAACTGGGTGCAAGAAGCTCAAGATAGAAATAGGTGGAAAATTTTGCGGCAGGCCTACGTTCAACAGTGGACGAATTTAGGCTAATTGATGATCTTATCCGTGTTTCCAAGTATTTGTAGGTAACTACGCTCTCAATTACAATATGTTTAGTAACTAGTTGGATGTTTTCAACTGCTGATTTAGCCATGACTATGCACTTAGTTTTCGTCAAAGTAATCTTAGGCCCGTTTTCATGACAGTATGGAATGAGGCGTTAGATTGCGATCTTTAAATTATTATTGTTATCCATCATTACTGCAGAACGTAAATTATTCACATAGACAACAAGGTTATAGAATAGATTTTTTTTTAACGAAAAGTAAATAATGATAGCTGTCGGTCAGATAGCTCAGCGGGCTGTGCGGCTGCCTCTCATTCGCTTCACTGTCGAATGGTTCAGTGGATGTGGGTCGAGCCCCAGCTCGGTGTACGGAAAACAAAAAGTCTAACGCAGCAGTTTAAAATTCTAGATGAATCTGCGGCTTAGACTAGGATATGCTGGGGTCTGATCGGCCTATGGTGGAGCAGTACGGCAAGAGATAAGGGCTTGCGTCTCGGTGATACTCCTCCATAGATCCCTACCGGACGGGCGTAACGCCTAAAAAACCGGATATATATATATATAAATAATGATAGCTAACATGTAATTTTTTATTTATTATTTTAATATTTTCCAGGATAAAATCTCAAACATCTCCCTTCTTAAAGCGAACACTATTAGGCTTAATACAGCAACTACGAACCGTTCTTCATTCAAAGACTGATACTCCAGTACCTCCGGGTTCCATAAAGTTTTCTCATTCCGCACGGTTAGCAGATCTCAGCGTCACTGTTTGCGATTCAGATTTTGATATAGTCAACATTCAACTCTCTGGATTGGAAATGGACTTCCTTTTCAGAGCAAATGAAAGATTTGTTTTTAGGTCATTTTTAAGTAATATAACGGTGGAACATTTATCGGATATAACGTTATATTCGAAGGTAAGCATATTATTAATCAACTTTATAAAATGGCAAAAGGTTCTTGAAACCTCCGTTATATTAAGATTTGATTAACTTTATTTAATATCAAAATACAACATATTACGTGGTTTCAACTTCTTCAAAAACAATGTGAAAAATATCTTTTTCTCATCCTAAAATGCTTATTTATTACCCACCCACATGATGATGTATGGAGTGGTACTACAAATATATCAAGTGGTCTGATAAGTAACCTTCTTCACCAACTACGGTGCTGTAATTAAAAAAAACATTATTTCTAGAAAGTCTAAACTTTTTTAGGCGTGCATGTCAAATTTTAGCATGATGAAGCAATTACTATATTTTTGACAGCTGCATAAATTTTATGTGTTTGTAAAAATGACGCATATAAAGAAAAACGATTTTCAATCTCTTAATCTGGGAACGAAACAAAAGAAAAGCTAAATAAATATTGTGGGACTAATGCTTTTTCAGACCAGTCCTCCGAAGCAGTTACACCGAAAATTGTAAAGAAAGTCCATGCAATTTGTTTATCTGACTTTAAAGTAAAGGTTCGTGAATTACCATAGGCCACAAAATTAGTAAAGAGCGCACTAGTAAGTTTTGTCTATGAAAAAATGATCCTGCTAATGTTTGCCCCGTTTTCCGAGCACTGTCCATATGATCATGTGACCACCTCTCAGCAGTGTTTGGATTTTATAGAGAACAATTCGTCGGACTTTTTGCATTGATTGGTAACCGTTGATGAAACCTGGATCCATTATTGCATACCAAAGAACAGAATTCGCGCATGACAATGGACTAAAGTCGCTAAAAGTGCTTCAAAGTGCGGCTCGATTGGTCGGAAAGGTTATGGTCACTAATTTTGGATTGTACGGAGAGTTATTTAACCCTCATCAAAAACACTTTAGGATGTTCAAACTGAAATAATATAGTCTAGTGTTTGGCCGTTATAATAACTAAACATGCCTAAGTACGGTAGCAGCGACATCTATACAAAGCAACAAGAACTCGGAAGACCTCTCTTCGATAGCGAATTAGGTGAACCGTAAAGCTAAAGGTTCTTACTGGAGGCGCTATTTACGGCAATACTAGGTAATATCGACGTTTTACTCCGACATTTATTAAGACATTTAAGTAAAATATTACAGTTACTAGGTAACAAAGGCAATTCTATCTTCTGTGTCTCTGTTTGGAATTCAGGAAAATGGCTATCTGATTGGTGTACTTCAATTTATATCCCGCTATTCAAAAAAGAAACTACTACCAGATGTGAAAACTACTTCACACTGTCACTAATAACACATGCTAGTCAAATCTTGTTACATATTATCAAAAACAGAT